TCGTCGACTAGCCAAGGGGCTGGTCGACAACCGGCCCCCCGTGGGTCAGTCGGACTCCCTTCGGTACCCTCCGACGAAGGTCCGGTCGAATCATTACACCCCCCATCACTTTTTTCATTGGAAGGAGAAGAAAGAATAGTTTTATACATGACAACAAAAAAGACAAAGAGAAGAAATTTAAAGCAAGACCTTGGATTTAAAAAAGGAGAGAAAATTACCTTAGAAGAGAGGAAGCCTAGGATGTTGAGAGAAAATGAAAGTGATTCTCTAGAATAAGAATTGCCCCCCTTTTATAAACACTAGAATTCAAACTTTTTGGGGGGAATTGGAGGGAAATTTCCCTCCAACATTAAGACCATTGGTGAGGAGCCATGTGTACAGTAGAATTGCCACTCGATTGTGTTTACATGGTTCGATTTGCTAATACGAACTATTCCTTTCTCATAAAAAAAAAAAACTTTCAAACCAACCTAAAATTGCTACCCCTTGTCGAAAACATCGACAAGGGGTAGGGGGCTAATGATATAGGTTAGTAGAAGTAGCCACTCTCAATGACAAGCAAGGCAGATCACAGCACTCCGATGCAAGGCCATCGACCCCCATAAGGCGTTCTACCAATACGTCGGGAGGAGCGTTCTATCACTACGCCCAGGGGGCGCTCTACCACAACCCCCAGAAGGCGTTCTGCCACTACGCCCAGGGGAGCCCACAACCCCCAGAAGGCGTTCTGCCACTACGCCCAAGGGCCGTTCTACCACTACGCCCAGGGGGCGCTCTACCACTGTCCCTAAAAATCATTCTACCTCTAAGGGAAATCCTCAACTGGCATGATATTGCTTGTCCAAACACTTAGCCATAAAACCTTTAATGAATTGACCAGGTTCCATGGCCGCTGATACAAGTACAATCTTCAGGCGGGAAGTTAAGGACTCCTCACCCAGAACGTGGGTATAGTGGGAATATCAACGTGGGACACGTGGCACCACAACCGCCCAGCGGTTACCCAGTGCCTAATATCTATAAATACCCCCGGATGTGACACAGGTAAAGGATTTTCTCTCATTCTCGTTTTAGCCATTTGAATTTTAAATATATTTCTTCCAAGTCTAAAAACTAATTCTCACGCCGGAGGTAAAACGGGGGAGAAAGTCCCGCCTTCATTTTTCAGGTCTTGCATACTTAACGGAGTAGTGGAAACGCCAAACACTACCGGGCAAACAGAAGGGTGTTGTTCCACTGCCCTTTCAGATGTGACCTTAAGGATACCTATGGCATAATACTATGCATCTTTGCAAGCATAAGCATTGTTAACTATAGTAATGTGAATAGCATTCTACATAACTTTTATTTAACTAGGATAATTATATCAATAGTACACAAACCCAATATAGGACCTAATAATTCTTCTGTATATTCTTTTGAACCATCAAAGCTAATGACAGATATGATACCACCATGTGGAGATTCTGGAAGTCAAACTTATAAACTATTCAAAAAACTTGTATATGTAGTACAATAACAACTAAAAACCAAATGTAAAACCCTTTATGATACCAGTCAGGCAATCACCAACATATAACTATCATGCATTTTGAATACAGACACATCTTATATAACACAAATTTTGTATACAATACAGTCATTCGTTAACACAACCACCTGCATTTTTTAAATTAAATATTCATGAATATTGAATATTTTAATTAAGGTTTTTAATTTTATTAAATCTAGAATTTAAACAAGAAAACTGAAAATTTAAATGAACGAAAACTGAAAATTAAACTTGCCTTTAATTTAGAAATTTTGAAATTTATAGATTTATGTTATAATATTCAGGACAATAACCCATTTATGATTTTCAATAAGTTTTCTTCTTGCTTCAAAATTTATCATCCCACACTTTCATTCTGAACGCAATAGAAACATTCTCCTTGGGAAAAACACTAGATTCCAATTAAATATAACTATGCTAGTTGATGTAGTAAAGTTCCTCCAATTAGCCAATGCTAATCAAGTTAGTCAGCCAGGTGCATATCTATAATATTTCTCTTATGCAAAATACCTCTGGTTCACTTTCTTACAATATGAGGCTAGATTTGATAATTGAAGCATTGTTTGCAGCATCAAGAAGCCTAAAACCATAAATTGCTAGGTACTTATCCAACTATTTACAGAAAAATCCTTCAAAACAGTTAGAATCATAAAACAAAACATGGAAGACTGCATTGTTGGTTCATAACCACGACATTTTTTTTAACCTATAAATATACGTAGTAGGCCTTTCACGAGAGACGTGGGAATTGTTGTCTATTATTGTAGTTATGCCTTGAAAGACGTGAGATTAGTTACACAATTCTTGACTATGAAAACACAGATAAAAGGAATAACAAAAAAACAAGAAAAGGCTGGCATGCAAATATCTATCTTAGGTCTATGCCGGAATGCTGTTCAAAGCATTTGGTCTTCCTAGTATTATTCACCTTTTTTTTCAATGAAAGGAAAAGATGGATGAATTTTTATTATTATTTTTTTATTTTTTAATAGTTCTGTACCTCCGAGGTATGTATCGGAGGGAAAGAGAATTCGGGTCACTGCTAACTAAAATTAACACAAAATGTTAATGCTAATATATCAACCAATCACATTAGCGAATTCACAGGGGTGCCATGCAAACTTCTACAAAACTTCGTGTCATTTAACTCATTAATATATTATTATTATTTTTTTTTTTCATTTTCTGCATTCGTGATTTGGGATAAGTAGTGTTGAAAATTTGCCTTTTGCATTAAGAAATTCATGAATTCAGAACATAGAGTGCAATAGTTGAATGCATAAACGGCTATAGTTTATATATGTGTACATAACGACATAGTTGAACCAGCTTATAGTTCTAAAATTATATCATGCAATCTAAGAGAGAAGTTCATTCACACAATAAGAGAAAAGTTCATTCACACAAATCACGTAACACGACTTTAGATTGTTGGGAAAAATTAGGTGATTTGTGTGTAGATAAATTTATCAATTATATAATCAATTAGACAACACAAACATAATTCAACAATATTATAAAGTAATAATAGGGTTAGAAAATCAAGTATTGGGAGTCACGTCAAGGATGATGTCTTAAAGTCGTGTTGCCTCTCCTTCATGCGGGTTCTTTTGGCACTATACGACTCCAAGATAAAACACATGTGACTCTCTTTCTATGGGCACGACCATAGGGAGATAAAGCCTTTGATCGAATTGCCAAAATAGAAGAATATAGCATAAATTATATAAAATGTTTTCTTCCAAATTACTATATTGTAATACTCCTTTGCAATAATATGTAACCACATTTTATAGGTGTAAATCAACTCCCACAATTAAGTCATTAAAATGGAAGTTATAACATGAATTATGATGTTTTAATTGTGTGAAAATGATTATTAAATAAATAAAAACTGAAAATTAAATGGGTTAAATTGTTGAAATGTTAAAACTTAATTTTAAGTTACAACATTCCATGTCGAACCTCTTCAATTTATGATTTGTTTTGCACAAACTAAATAGCTATTGACTTACTAAAATTACAAATATGACAACAATCACAAACAGTTACAATCATGCTGTTTTTGAAAAGAGACGTGCTTAGGAATTTATAAAGTTAGTTTGGCTTCATATTTTGCTCAATGGGTCAGAATTGAGGGAATCACAAACTATAAATGAGATGAGTCTTTAAATTTCACTCTGTGTTCTTCGCTTGCTAGAAACATATTGAAATAGATAATGTGCACTTCAAAGGGTATGCTCGATGAGGAGTTGGAGGTCATTATATCTTAACAACTAATTAGACATGAATGTATTAAATTAAAATTTTGGGCAAAAGTGCAACTCACTGTGAGGTTCAAAAATTCAAGCTCATTATTGAATTTTCTCCATTAATTTGGGGAGGTTAAAGAGTTAATTGTAAGTTTGTAAATCGTTTTTAAGTGAAAATCTGGTACGTTTTATGTTGTTTAGTTTTTAAACACTTAAACCAAAGTCTATACAGTTTGCAACTATTCATCATGCATTTTGCAATTAAATAAATTCAGCTCTAAACATTTTTCTCTTCATATCAAATCCCATGTCATCAAGGGCCCGTTTGAGCTCCATTTTTGGAGAAAAATGCATTTTGAAATACTAGACTCGTGTAGAACATGTGGTTAAAAAATACAAAAAAATTGATTAGCGTGTAATTTATTTAATTAAAGAATGTGCGATTGAAAAGAAGAGAGAGAGAAAAATATATTCGAGAAATAATAGGAATAAAAGAAGGGCGTTAAAACAAAATCTCTAGAATTGTATAGCATATTTGGTGCTGATTATGAAAATCAATTTTTTCACCACTAGCTTGAAATGTGGTTCTTATCTGTGAGTGAAGAGGTAAAAAATTATGACTGACTATATTAAATAACGATAAAAAAATTAATTTTTTGGCTTGAAAAATTAGAACCAAACAAGGGATATAATATCTGAAACAATGTTTATTACTATTAAGGTGCGTTTGATTGCAAATATGAAATTTCCATAGGAAGAAAATAAATTTTAGGTAATTCAATTGTTTAGAACTTATTTGCATGAAAATTATCAACTAAATGTGTTTGATTGACTTAATTTTCAGCCTATAAAATATTACACTTATTCATTTTTTATTGGTAAATAGATGAGAGAAAGTGGGTAGATGAAAAAGAGAAAGAGAGATCGATTTTTTTGGAAAATAAAATCCTATTTTCCTTAAAGAAAATATTTTCCTTGTGAAGAAAATATGGTCACATGATCAAAAAAATATATATATTTTTCATGGAAACAAATGTTAATCAAATAATACAAAAGTAGAAAATTAAGAGAAAAACACATTTTTTCATGAAAAATTGGCAATAAAATGCGCCCTAAGAAAATTGAAAATAATCCGGATGGGCTTAGTGCTTGTGATGTTACTGATGGACCCAGCTAAGCCCATATCCCATAGCCTCTGGCATTAAACAGCACAGAATTACTGGCAACCGTGTCTATCCCAAACCCTAGCCGTGAATTCGCCTCCGCTTCGAAGATGCAGATCTTCGTGAAAACCCTAACGGGGAAAACCATTACCCTGGAGGTGGAGTCGTCTGATACCATCGACAATGTCAAAGCCAAGATCCAGGATAAGGAGGGTATCCCGCCGGACCAGCAGCGCCTCATCTTCGCCGGAAAGCAGCTAGAAGATGGACGCACCCTTGCCGACTACAACATCCAGAAGGAGTCCACCCTTCATCTCGTACTCCGTCTCCGCGGAGGCGCTAAGAAGCGCAAGAAGAAGACGTACACCAAGCCAAAGAAGATCAAGCACAAGCACAAGAAGGTCAAGCTCGCCGTCCTCCAGTTCTACAAGGTTGATGACTCTGGCAAGGTCCAGAGGCTGCGCAAGGAGTGTCCCAACGCTGAGTGCGGTGCTGGAACTTTTATGGCCAATCATTTTGACAGGCACTATTGTGGTAAGTGTGGGCTTACCTATGTCTACAATAAGGCCGGTAATGATTGAGAAACTGAGTTATCTCCGTGGGAATTCTTGTTTTCTGCTGTTTTGATTGTCCCAATCGCTCTTTGCCGATTATGATTTGAATCTTTACTATGAATTTTTGGTTTAGGCAATATGTCTAAGACATTAAATGTGTTTTAGTTTAGTTTACAGTTAATGGATAATTGCTATTACTTTTAACAGTATCTTTCATGTGATGAAATTTTGAATTCTGTTTGTTGGATTAAATTTTAATATCTTGGAACTGTTTTAGAGACATTTGGTTGTTATTGCTTTGCCTTGGCTAATGATAGTGATGGAACAACTTGGAAGTTCCATAGCAATGAAAAATTAAAGTAATTGGACATAATTCTGAATAAATGGGTGCTTGCTTATTCCTAAATTTTTTGTACATCAAATACAGTAGTACAACCTTTTCTTGAGAATGATGAACGTGCTACTATCGTGGTGTAATTTTTGATGCATTAATGGAGATTTGTAGAATCATCATTCAAGAGAAACATGAGTTTGTGTTGTCATGGGTTTTGAACCATCTACCTTAATTACGTGTTAGGAAAATGAGCAAATAAAGGATAAGCTTTGGCTGACATAAATAGCAATATTTATTTCCGGCTTAGAGGAACTAGAACTTCAATGTAATAATTAATGGCCTAACTCTCTAACATGCTTCTTTTCCTTTGGAGCACTGCAATAAAAGGTGAGCTCGAAAAACTTAATCTTTATTTGATGTTTTTGCACTCAATTTCAGGTCTTACAGATGATCCATTTCAAATTAAGTGGATTTCCAAATTGTTTATGTATAAATCAAAGTTTTGCATAACCTCTAATCTTATGGTTTTAAATGGAGAGAAGTAATTCAACCTCACAAGTGAAGGGATAAACATTCTCGAGAACATTGCATGTTTTCCTTTCACAGGCCAGATTACTAACAATCTCTATTACCATCATATGGTTTTAAATGGAGAGAAGTAATTCGACCTCATGAGTGAAGGGATAACCATTCTCGAGAATATTGGATTCAAGTAGAGTTTTCTGTAACGTATCAATAAGCTAGATCCATACTGCAAGTTGTTTCATGCCATAAATAAACTCGAACACTCAAGAAATCCATTGGGCAAACGGATTCACATCTCTTACAATCAACACTGTCCTCGGTCCTTGGGGCAGTAGCCAAATTACTTGCGATCTTTTTTACCAAGTCTAAAATAATGCCTTTACTGTCCACTAATTCAAATGGGGTTCTTCTTAATGCAAATTCACATGGATTGAGAATTTGATTTGATCATTCGCAAACAGGTGATCATGGGAGATAAATTTGTTAAGAATTTGATTTGATCATTCAACAAACAAGTGATCTTGGGTTATAGATTTGTTGGTACCTTGCAGATGAACTGATTATGTAAATTGCAGTTTTGAAGCTTGCAAATGAACTAAAATTCATGACTTAACCGATCATTTGATATTTACAAGCTCTAGTTATGATTTGAATGGAAGAGATTCTCTCCTGCTACATATTCTAAATATCAAGTAATTATGTAACCTTTCGTGGCATTGAGGTGAGTATTCGACTATAAGCTTCAGGGCCTGTTGGATTAGTCGAGGTGCGTCTAAGGGTAATTATGTGACAACGCAACCTATTCAACCGTGAATGAAAATTATCACATTTCACATATGGGTCATGTTATTTGTATTTGTTTGTTTACACTTTGGTTTATTCGGGCCCACCTCCTCCTTACACATGGGGGTCAGACCCCACGTCATGACCCTCACATGGGACCCGACCTCATGTGAGAGGAGTGGTGGGGTCGAGTAACCTAAAGTGTCAATAAACAAGTACAAATGGCTTAATTCTTCACATATACACTTGCATATGTTGTCAGATCAATTACGCACTTACAGCTCTTGTTTTAGCATGTGTAGCGCAACAAATATTAGAACTTCACGGTTGTATTCAGCATTTTGTTATGTTTTGATTTTTCTTCCATTCTCAAGTCAAAATTAGCGAGATTCATGGCATGTTGGCATTGGTGAAAATAGCAAGCGAATTGAAGTGCAGAAAAACTGAGAGAGGGAAGTTGTTTACAGGACAATTCTTGAAAGTAGCCCGGACTGAGGGAAGATTGGGAACAGGAGAATGACTGATGATTTGCTAACCCCAGAAATCTCCATCAAGCAAATGCCTGATGTCGAACCATTGGAAGAACCAGTTTCTGCATTTAAAATAAACGAAGTTGCAGCTCCTGTTGCCTGTACTTCGTTCCAGAATGTTAGCGCGATTGGTGTGCCTTAATTGGACCTTGACTGACTTGCTAAATTGCTTAAGAACCGGGAGTTTGTTTTTGCCCTTCTGGCCAGGCCAGTCCAGTGAATTATAATGTCGCAAGACTGTTAGCGATTTTATGCACAAACTAATGCTGATAATAAGGTTGAATTCTCTTCCATAAACTACAATAGCTTAAACCTGTTTTACGGAGTTGGTTAATCGATGGCTTCAATTGATTATATGTTAACAACAAAAAAGTCATCTCTTAACATGCAGCCCGTTAGCATCCCGTCTGTTTACCAACACAATAGACTGCAAACTTCTTGTCAACAAACGTGCGTAAAATTTCTCCTCTTTTTGTTGCTCGAATTCGAAAGATGACCTTTCAATACAATAGACCTTAGGGAAAGATAAGATAGATTAATATGTCCAATAATTCATGCTCATTTATATGAATGTGCTAAAATGAAACAACAAACGTTTATTGTTACGAGATTCAAACTAAATGAAATGCATGGAAGGATATTCATGTCATTTGCTTTTAACTTAGTAGTTTATAAATTTGACAGGAGCCTTTCACTGTGAAAATAGTTCTTTACAATTTAAATCTTGTAAATTATGCTATTGTGTTTGTTGACAAATTTGACTAGGTGTTTTCCCCTTCCCCCTCCCCAAGTGGTAGAAGAAGACGGATATGAAAGCAGTAACATTTGCATAGAGCAGAATAAGCCATGGCAACACAAGTGAAAGTCCTATGGAACAGAAGCCATTTGGGGTTGAGGTTTCTCCAGCATGAGACCCATAAATTTGTAGAGTTGAGTGGATTACCATCGACACCTCTTCCTGAGTAGGATCACTACTATGGCTGGCGAGAGCATTAAGAATAGATCACATACCAAGACTTGCCATTGAAGCCATTATTCCAATCCCAAAATGTTATTTGAATGAAAAATCTGAGTAATCAGAGTGATACCAGTCGGATTGACAAGAAGTCCTTTTTAAAGATGTGAAAATACTGACAAACGAGTAACGCCATCATTTGTGATGCAAGTTAATTTGACAAGCTACCATCCGATTGACCTTACCTGATATGTTGGGGGGCCTAAGTAACACAAAATATGAATGGGGACACAAGTGCAATAAGAGAGATAATTTGGGGAATGTTGTCCAGAAAACCCATGACATTAAGCACCCGCCCAACAAAGCCCATGACTAAATGGGTCGGTAAAGATTGAGATCCAATAACCCGCGTCCAGTTCCGTCCACCTTCGCTTTCAACTCCAATAGGTTGTCAGATTTTCCATTCCGTCTTGGATGCCATTCTTTTTCCCTGGCCATACAGTACTTTTTTCGTTCCTGAAATTTATATGGTTCCTTTTTTCGTTCTTGTTTGATTAAATGGTAGTATTATTATACCGAGGTGCTTCTCTCTTTGCCCGCCGATTCCACAACCAAAGCTCCCATTTTTTCAATGTAAGATTCCTCCCCCTTCTTCGGTGCTTTAATTTTATACTACATTTTTCTAGGAAATAAATTTTATAGTTTCTAATGACCGTCAATTGTGAAGTGCAGCTTGAAAGTTATTCTTTTTACGAGGAGTTATCCCTTAAAACATTTTCAAATTCACTTATTTATTTGTATTTGGTGTAACACATTTCCTCATCTTTGATTGAGTAGTTTAGCTAAATAGTTTATTTGGAATTTCATTCTCTCCAATGAAATTTAAAAGTATTAGCAAACCACTTCTGAAAGCGCTTAATATGGAGATTTGATTAACAGAATAAGTTGTGTTTATCTAATTTATATTTTTATAAGTTGAAATTAAAATTGCAGTAAAAACATTTATTCCTTCTGAACTAAGCACTATGCGGCCAATTGGAAATGGAGCAAGGAACTATCACTGTCATTCTGACTAATTTGAAGTTAAGAAGACATGGATCAGTGATAGGTAGTTTATATGCCATTGGTGTGACTTTTGCTTTATGAGGTTGGTGAAAATCACTAGTTTATGTCCCTATATCTTTATATATGCTAGTCTCCCTCTGTTCCTCCCAGCTTTTGGTTTATTGCATTCATGATTCTGTTTAAGTGCATGCGTGCCTGTGTACGTGTGATGTCTTTGTGTCCTTCCTCCACGCCAGGCCTTCATATAGTAGCAAAGGCACTTTTATTAAGCTGTGAGAGATAAAAATCTTATATTGCATGTTTTCAGGGCTTCAATCGACTTCATAACGCTAATGCTACCACCTCTCAGAGCTTCAAGTTATACCCCTTGAGTTCACCCACTTATCTTGTCAACCCTAGTTTATTTTATAACACAGCTTTTCCTTCAGTTGGAATTCTAGATGAAAAGATAGAAATACTAGATGATATAGACAAACCGAAAGACTCAGCTGATGTTTTGAGGAAATGGGGTTGTAGCGAAGATGATATATCCAAGATTTTTATGCGCCGTCCATCTTTGCATAAAATGGACATCAAGATCCTTCAAGGCAAGCTTGAAATACTTACTGACTTGGGCATCACCTCCTCTGACCTCGTAAAAATCATACACTGCCGTCCTCGATTCCTCAACTGTCGGATCAATCTATGGTTGAATGAACGCCTTGAATATTTTCGAGCCTTGTTTGGCTCAAAGGAGGTCCTGCTTAAGGCTATAGTGCGCAATCCTTCTTTACTGACTTATGACTTCCACAATAAAATTAAACCTGTCATTGCCATATATGAGAAACTGGGTGTTAGCAGAAGGGACTTGATTCCTATGCTTCTATCTCGTCCCACCTTAATCCCACGAACTATGCTAGACAGTGAGAAGTTGGATTACATTTCTAGAACTGAGGTCTCAAAGGAATCCAGGATGTACAAACATGTGGTTACTCTCTTTGCCATATCACGCATTGAGACTATTCGTGAAAAGGTAATGAATTTAGAGAAGTATGGGTTTTCGGAGGAAGAGGTCTTCAGGCTTTTCGGACGGTCTCCACTTGTGTTGACACTCTCGGTCGATAAAGTTCAGAGAAACATGACTTATGTACTGGGCACGATGAAGCTGCCAGCCAATATGGTACTTCCCAACCCATTTCTGCTCTTCTTCAATTTGGAAGCTATCTTAAAGCCACGGTTTCTTCTAGCAGGAAAAATAGAGGATATGGGTCTTGTTCCTCAAATTAAAGGACCTGCAATGCTTAGGGCATTGAGGATGTCAGAGAAGCGGTTCATCACTGCATTCATTACTTGTCATCCAGAGGATGTGGTCAACGAATTGATCACTTTCTATAAAAATGCTAAATGTGTCAAACGATTAGCAGAGTCTTCAAAGAAGAACCTGAGTAAAGGATTTCCTTTTTGAACAGTTTTACAGTGAATGTATCTTTACATTGTTTGATTATGTTTAGCCATTAAATTCTTATTTCTGGAAGATGAGAATTTTACCTGTGGCGGTGTTGATTCATTGATCTGAGATGTCAATAATAACAGAAAAGCAGTTTTAATACAATTTGAGGGGTAATGGAGGCTAAAGAACGGTGTAAATTTACTACAATTTGATAGGACACTAATAACTTATCAGTTCTGTAGCTTGTTGGTCTTATGAGAATAAGAATGTACGACTAACCTGGAGAAGATTTGTATTTGCATAAAGTTTACATTTCTGCTCCTCCAGCTTATTCAGTAGATGTGACACGATTTGTTTTGGAAGTAGGAAGCGTAATGGTAATGGATCAATCAGCGGAAATTTGTTTTATTATTGATCTCAAAGCTGATCCGAAGTCTTTAGCCCTTGTTTGAGCCACATTATTGGAATAAAAATGCATTTTTAAATATTGTATTGGTGGAAAATGTATGGTTAAAAAATAAGGAAAAAAATTTTATTTGCGTGTAATATTATTTTATTAAAAATATATTGTTGAAATGATGTCAAATCATTTTTGAAGAATGTATTTTTTTTTTCAAAAAATGTGGCTCAAACAAAAACTTATGTCCTCTTTCATATTAGCTTTTACTGGGATTTCTTATAACCAATAGAGTTTAAAGCAGGTGAGGTCATAAGGTGAATATAAGCAACTTTGACTCTGCTCTCAGGCTCCTCACCTGGTGTTCAACGTAACAAAATGCAATCAAGTTTCATTACATAAGAAAGATGATACCAAACACTAAAGAAATCATTTTGCAAAACTTTAAGCAAACAAAAATACGCAACATTTTCTACTAAAGAATCCTTAAGCAACAACCAAAAATTGATATAACAATTAATATTTTTATTTTGGGTCATTCTTGGGGTACATAAGGGGGGTATAAAAGTGTTCATTTTAGACACCTGACGCCTTTGGTGTCCATTTTGGACACCTTTATGTAAGGGGTTATGTACCCTAAGAATAATTCTTTTATTTTCTTAATTTTAGAGGAAACATGTTTGTTATTTTAGATGCGTAGGTATCTCTCCAGTGTCCATTTTGAACATCATAAGCAAGGGGTTATGTACCTCAAGAATAATTCTTTTATTTCTTAATTTTAGGGAAAATATGTTTGTTATTGTGGATTATTATTATTTTAAATAATGTTTTAGGGTACATATTAATATAAAAATAAGAATGAAAAAATATAGCCGTTACGAGCTACACAAAATAGATAGAAAGTTAAATATGATAGCTTGATGTGATGGATAACGGTCATATTTTTTATTTTAATGAACAAATAATGAGAAAAAAGGGGCTTAGTAATAATGAATGATGTTACTGTTAGTATTTTTCTAAATTCTTTTAAAAAGGGCAAAGAGGCAATATTGTATATGCAACAGTAAAGTAATCCAATTTTACTGTATGTGATGTCATTTTTTATTTTTGCATTTTGTGAAGAATTTTGTTTATGGTGATTGACAAATATTCTTCCACACACGCATCATGCCATCAGCATTAAAAAAATAATATATATATATATATATATATATATATAAAAGCATCTCCGCACATGAGCAAAAAAAAAAGAGCTCTCTACGCACATGAGCGAAAAAAAACACTCCGCACAATGCAAAGAGATGGTTAGAATTAATTTCGTCTAACTACTAATTTAATAATTTAAATAAAAAAAATATGTTGTGCGGACACGTCTCCAAATATGCGGGAGTCCACACAATGTGCGAGAACTCCGCACAAATTGTGCAAGTGTCCGCACAAAGTACGGACTCTCTGTACAATGCGCGGAATGTACGGACACTTTGCACAAATTGTGCGGACACTCCGAACATACTCCGCATAGATTGTGTGAACTCTCCGCATAGTCTGGACAGAGTTGTGCCAACAACTTTTTTTTGTTTAATTTAATCATGCAACCTAATATTTGTTTAGTTTGTTATTTTATTAGTTAAAAATATGCATTAAATCTAATAAAAAGTATATTTATAAGAATAAGTTTAACTTCAATATAATACAAAAAAAAACTCTCAAAGAAATAATCATTGCTAACAACAACAAAATTTAACAAAAGCATCTAAACATATGAAGAATAAAAAAATTAAAAAAGTAGAACCTGTGAAAAAAGAAAAAGAAAGATTGTTCAAATGGGAAATGCATTATTGATACACAAAAGACTTTGCAGTCACCAGGTTAAAAATATGTATTTATTGTGTGGTGTTAAATTTTTTTTGAATAATCATAATAAATCTTCTTATTACGCTGATAAAATTACAATAATTTTTTTTTTTACAAATAGCATAAAAAATCATTTTTATCTTCAACAAAAAATACATTTACAAATTAGCAATTTCATAACCACATTTTTTTTATTCCCGAAAATTCAATTATAAAAAAAGAAACAATATTGTAAGAAATTCAATATTAAATAAATTTTATACATTTATAACAAATTATAACTCCGTATATGCAATTTACCATATTTACAGCTTATCGTATTTGCAACTTATTATATATGATGTCTACCGTATTTTCAATTTATCGTATATGCTGCCTACCTACCGTATTTGCAGCCTACTATATTTGCAACTTACCGTATATGCTGCCTACCATATTTGCAGCTTACCGTATTTTCATATACCGATTTTCGCACTTACAAATACCGAAAATGCAGAACACCGTATAATTACTTACCAAACCGATTATCAAAAAAAATTCCAGATTTTAATTTTTTCAACATAAACAAAAAATAAATATTAAAATAATGAAGCACAAAATATAAACCCATATGAATATACAAGTTGATTTATAACTTTGTGCTCAATTTTTAATTTTCCAATATTAAATTGTACAAAATTTAGAATTATAATCTTCACATTCAACTCAATCATATCAACACCGTCAAAGAATACATGCAAAATAGTTTGTATAATCTCGTATATTTCTTATTCAAACATGAAATATACTAACATATTTTTTCTAAATGACACGATACTGTTATGCAATTGTAAAAATAATTTGTAATTATTTTCTTATATCATGAAAATATTTTTAGATATTGCTTCAAAAACTAAAATTCATACGCTAATAAAAATACGATAAATACAAAATTTTGCACGCACAACATTTGCGATTTTTTTTTTTTTGTGATAGCAGTTTCCTTTTTTCCTTTCTTTTTTTCCCCGCTTTCCCTATTTTTGTTTTCTTTTTACAGAGATTTGAATCTAAATTATTGAAACAAGGGTTTTTTGTAAGTAAATATAGAATTTTGCTATGAATTGAATGTATGTTGGTTTGATTTTATTGTGTGGTTCTAGGTTGATTTTTTTTAGAGGGTATTATCATTTCGTTTCTAACACTAACTTCTTCTTTCCTCTAACTTCTCTTAAAAATGGGAAGGAGATGACACTATTTCATTGAACAATAAATGAATCACATGATACTGCACAAAATGAAAAATGACCTTTTTTTTTGGGTCTTCTTTATTTTCATCACGCATCACCTCCTCTTTACGCAACCGTCCATATTTGTCATTTTTCCCTAATTTCCTCCATTTCTCAAAACAACCTCTTATGCTTCTTTCCTTCATTCTCCCCTTTCTTCTATTCATTTCTTCTTTTCTTTTCTTTTATTTCATTTTCCAAATATTTTGTCTATATGGTGTTTAATTTCATCTTCTCAATGCTTAACATTCTAGAAGTTCTAACCCTCTATTTTTTTCTTTTACGGAGGTTTGAAGCTTCTATCATAGAACAATCAAAGGAATTATTGAAACGAGGTTTTTGGTAAGTAAATATAGAATTTTGCTATGAATTGAATATATGTTGGTTTAATTTTATTGTGTGGTTTTACGTCGATTTATAGGGGTATTATCATTCCATTTTAATCGTTCTCGAAAGATTAAAGATTATTTTACGAGGCAAGCCAGGAATTATGGCAAAGGATGAAGTGATTCTAATGGATCACTTAGGTTGGAAAAAAGCCCACGTCTTGAATTTTTAATGATGTTTGTTTTTTTTTTTCATTTCTATTGTTGAAAGGTAAATAGCGTACGTTTCTTGTTTGTTTGTGATTATACTGTTGTTTTAGCTCATTCATATTATCTCTTCAAACTGGTTAGGCAAATAAGGTGAAGAAAACCAGAGAACAAAAAAAGAAAAAAAAAGATTTTGGTTTAGTCCATATTCTTGAAACAGCCAGTTATTTGAGTGTGTGTGCAGGAGTATTTTAGTCGATTCTTTACTATTATCGTATACCATAATATTAAAGATGATAAACAATGAATGAAGAAAGAAAAAAAATTAAAGAAGAGAAAAAACGACAACAACAACATTTGCTCCGGACGGTCGGGGTTGCTCTGAAGTATTTTTTGTTTTTAGCTTTTTTTTCCCTTTCTTTTAGCAATTTTATTTATTTATTTTAGCTTTTTATTTAAAGTAGAAATATGAGATTTCTGGTAGAATTTATTAAGTGGTCATCAAATTTGTTAAATTCTAGAAGTTAGATTCCTTTTTGATTTCCTAATTCTATGAAATTTTTAAATTAAGTTGTTTACGAATGCCTTCTAGTGATAAAGAATATAGATTAATAATAGTGTATTTTCATATATAAGTTAGAAAATCATAGAGAATTATATATACAAAACTCCCCCGAATAGCTCGTAGAGTTCAAGATTGTCCGAGGAGTTCAAGTCTCCAACTCTCCGCACTGTGCCGCAACACCTCCGTACAGTGTGAAGAGTTAGCGTGAACTCTCCGGACTGTGGGGAGAGTTCAAGCGAACTCTCCACACAGTCCGAAGAGTGTGCGGAGCATTGTTTGCTCCGCAAATTTTTTATTTATTATTATTATTTTTTCATCACTACAAATCCATCTCCAAAAATCCTTGCTCTCTCTCTCTCTCCCCTCATCAGTTCAACTCTTATCTTCCTATCTCTTTATATGTTATTTCAAATTCTCTTAATCGATCTAAGAATACAATATTGTTATGGCAAGTGCAACAAGAAGCTAGCGAAGAAGCTAATAGAGAAAAAGGGTTAAGAAATTTCTCTCATCCGCATTGTCCCATATTCCAACCACGAAATGTAAAAGAAAAAGATTGAAGAAAAATCAAATAAAAAGGTGCTTTTGTTGGGATTTTGACTTTCTTTGGGCGAATCCATTTCATAGCATTTCTGGGATGAATTTAACTTTTTGTTAATTATTTTAAATTTCTGGCATGACATTTCTTAACATTCTGCTCGATTATGTTTTTAATTTAGTTGCATATTATTGCCTCATATTCTTTGACAAAAATCCTTTGGCAGGCGTTTCCCTATATATGTTTAAGATTCGGATTTTTTGTAATTTGGGTTTTAGATTGAGCTTGGTTCCATTATATATTATGATCAAAATGTGGCTTCAAAAGGATGAATGAAACTAGATAAATGTTTGATGAAATGCTTACGAGAGAGGAGGAGGTTACTGATCATAATATTAGGCTTTTAAATGTTTGACTTTTAATTGATCAAAATGCAAGAAATGATTTTTCATTTTTTCCCTTTTTAACAATAAGATTTTTTAAAATTTCTTAGCATTGTAAATGGCAATTTTCATGTTAGTTTTAAGGATCTATACGGAGAGCTCTTTGAATTTGGTCGATTTTATCTTCTTAAACATACTAGCCTTTTGTGATGTTTGTTTATAGATATCATTATGGATGCCTTTAGAGAACAAATTATTTTGTTTGAGTAAAGTGTTTAAGCTGACTTGACATTGATTAGCACATTACAGAGACAGTTGCTTTTAGAGTTTTAAAATCAAATTACAAAGGCACAGGTACTAAACGAAGAGGGATAGATTTAAATTTAAAGAGGTCTTGACTCCAAGGAAAATGAATACATCAGCTATGTAGTCACTTTCAATATAATCTTTAATGTGATTGGATGAAATAATAATTAATTATGTGTGTTATTCAATAAGAAAATATCAAAATCTAATCAACCACCCTCATTAATCCAGTAATTTAAGCAGAAGCATTTCAATTTCCAAAAATTGATTATACACAGAATATGATAATAATTACTAATTTCTCCTAATTTCTACAGGATGTGTTCGACCTACTGCCAAATTTCGTGTCCGAGTTAATTAAATCTTTTGCAAGTAAAGTGGCTAAATATATATTGATATTTTCTTTAATTTCCAGTTCACATCTGCATTGTTAGTTAGGATTCTGAAGACAGTTCTTTAATGAATTTATTCTTAGCTTCCGCTTTCAGTGAAAACAAATGATAAGATGCTAGTCATATATCTCTCGTCCCTTATCTAAAATGTGATTGCTCTACATAACTTGATCAACAACAAGGTGAGATATTCTTGAATTGTGCCTCAAAATTTTCTATTTTACCGTCTGTTATTAACCTAACTACTAGATCTATATAAATTTTTGAATCCTGATGTTCATAGTGGATATTCAGTAATCTTTCTTGAGCTGGGCTATATCTAATCATGTCGACAATTAACATATCGATTTAATGGTTATTGTTGGGTATATTAATGTATGTTGGAATTAAAGATTATGCTTATGAATTGATTGTAATGCATCATAATATGCTCTCAAGACTCTTGAATAATGCAATAAATTTTCAACATTTTTTCTTTTTTAACATCTACAATTTCTAAATTATTAAAAATACAATAAATATAACATTCGTGCAACGCACATGACAAGTACTAATAATTTATAAATGGGAAGTGCTATATACATAATTATCTAAATAATGGTGTCCATAATTTAACATGGTATTGGATCCAACATTTAATTCAAATTTTACACTTACACATCAATAATCGAATGATTGACACGTTGCATTATGTATATCATTATGTGTGATAATTACGTAAAAATAAATTTTAAGCCGGTGATATTTGATAGGCTCTTACCATATGTCAGTCTCAATATCTTCAAAAAATCGGCGGTCCTCCCGCTTGTTCATATTAATCACGGTAGTACACTCGCGGTAGCGGCAAATGTCGACGGCAGGCGCATCAGTAGTAGTAGTTAACCACAAAATAGTCAATCTCAACCGGAGGAAGTCTACGCTACTATCCTCTTCGTCATCCTCATTCATCAGCACCAAATGTCCTCCGTACAGATACTACGGGTCCCACAAAAGGAATTCTCATTATTCCCTCACTGCCTTCAAATTCAAACGCCCATTCTCTTCTGTAATGGAATGGCAAGATTGCACGTAATAAGAAATCCCTTTCTTCTTTTTCTTGAATTAGCAAAGTTTTCTATTAGTTTGCCATTTCTTGAATTTATTTTTACATTTAATCCAAGCGATTTACTTGCCTTGGTGCTATGCTAGGAGTTTGAGTTGCCTGCTTGCATATTATGCATTAGAATTTAGAATCAAAGAAATTTGCATTTCTCTTTTGGTTCTAGAATAAGATCCTCATTTCATCAATTCATTCTGCAGGGTCAAGATGGAAGTGGGTGTTCCCACTTCTGTTGCTTATAAATGTTACGCTGATCGTGAAGCAATTCCTCAATGGATGGCCTTCATTCGGTGAGTAAAGGTGAGCCAGTATACACATTCTTTTTGCTTGGCCACCTGGGCAATTGGTGTTTTTTGTCATTTAAGTTGTCTCTGTGGCTAATTTTTAATTAGTATATCGAGTTTCTGCTTTATGGAAAAAATTGGCAAAATTTCAAATTGTGGTTAGATAAAATATGCTGTACCTCTTCATCAAGCCATCTGGTTAAACTTCATTTATTGGTATGATATTCTAGAGCTGAGTCCCATACACTTTGATGTTACTGTAATCTAATCTACAAGAGGTTGATAAAAATCTGGTGCCATATTTTGGCATATGATGTTATTCTAAGGATGTAAATTGTTAACGGATTATGTCTTCTCAGGATGAACTTGGTTATTGCCGAAAGGTATAGTATTTACATCTCGACTTATCACCAAAAAGAACGTTCTATCTGTTGCCTGTTTGTGGTTAGTCCCCATGCTATTCTTTTTTTTTGGATGGTATGTGTGCCATTTTTTTCATTTTTTTGGGGTTGGGGGGGTGTGTTTTGTTTTTTTTTTTTTTTTTGGGGGGGGGGGGGGGGGGGGGGGGCTTCAACATGACATTTAGTTCAAGAATAGTGTTATGTTGAGTGCTCAAGAGAATTCAATGATTTGACTTCAACATTTTTGTTTGATCTTGCCAACATTTTCGGATAGGTGTCAAGGGACATTGACTTATGAACACACACAGATATTGCCCTCCCAAACCCTTTTAACTAGGTCCAAAATGATAACAGTCAAGCAGCTGATGGACTAACACCTTTTTTTTTTTTTTACCTTATCAATATTTGAGCTGTGTATGTCATGACATGGAACGAGCATTTCTGTGTGCATGAGAGATCACAGTGTAGATGTTATGAAAATGTAAATGACATAAACGTGTCAAGTTCTGAATTTTGCATTCACCTACTCAATTCTAATATTATATATGTCAATCAGAATGTTAATAATCACTTAATTAATCAATCATATGCTCAGGCTTCAGATTTCTACGGTCAATGAATATGATGTTGGATTTTGTTTTCTAGATTCTGGAGGATAAGCCTGACCTATCACGATGGTCACTGAAGTATCAAGCATTTGGGCATGATATTGAATTTTCTTGGCTTGCTAGAAACATGCAGGTAACTTCCAAGAAGTTTTATATCATCAGAAAACTTCTTTATTATCTTTAACTCATTTTTTTGAGGTACCCATCAAATTTGTCATGATTGTTTTCTTGCAGCCTATACCAAACCAGAAAATTCACTGGAGATCTCTGGAAGGTCTTCCTAACAGGTAATTGAAGTTGAGCCAAGGGAGAGCAGCAAACTTAATTTTACTCGACCTTTTCCTCATTATTTTATATTTTTTTGGTTAGTCCTATCAGTATTTTATTAGATTCTTTACATCTCAGTTTTCCGTATCATTTTATGCAAATTGATGAACGGTATTATATGGAGTAATAAAGTCATTGTTTTTTGAGGATGATTATCAATGCCTGAAAACTAGGTGTTTTTACTCTATATGAAAATCTTGTCAAAAGTTTATAATCACTTTCTCCTTTATTCTGCAAATAGAAACACCAAATAAGTGTGGGAATTTGGTTTTTATCAAGATATTTGACATGTGCCAGCCAAGCAACCCTGCAAGTCCATGCAAGTAATAAATAATGCCATGCGAAGCAACCACGGAAGTAATACATAATGTCAACGTGCTGGAAGTGGACATACAAAGACTTGGTCTTGGTCAAGTTTGTTCCAAGTCTGTTGATTCGTTTTAGCTTGTTACTGAATAAGTCCGAGTGGTTTAGTCTTGTTGATTATTTTTTCTAATCTGTAGCCTAGTTTTAGCATTATTGCTATCACTTTGAAGGCTATAAATAGCCTGACTGCATTCAATAAATGGCAATGAATTATTTGTTCAAGTATCTCTCCTTCATTCTTCTTCTACTCCCAATTACATTATTCTCTTTAATTCAAATTAATTCTCATCAGTGGTATCAGAGCGTAGTTCCTACCATGGACACTCGAATGCAGAATTTCACAATGATGTTAACGAAATTTTAGCACAGCATGAATCCAACTTTGATCAGGTGAATGCCACCTTACAAAGGGTGTTAACCGAACTTAAAGCTCTTTGAACGTCAAGCCCAAGCCCTAGCCATCCTGAAATGAACCCTTTGAACGAGAAGAATCCTCACACCCACATAATTCTCATTCTAACACCACCAACGACCATCCTCATCAATACCTCAAGTTGTCTTTCCCAAAGTTTAATGGAGATATCCGACTGGCTAGATCTACAAGGCTGAACAATATTTTGATTTCACAAGTATTGACCGGACCAACGAGTTCAGCTAGCCTCCTTCCATCTTGAAGGCATCGCCTTGCAATGGCACAGGTGGCTAACCAAATTTCGGGGACTACTTAAATGGGAGGAGTTCACCAAAGCAGTCCTTCTCCGCTTTATTCCAACTGATTACGAAGATCCACCGAAAGCTCTAACTCTACTCAATTAACCTCGAAATTGACCAAAATGAGAAGTGTACTTGACTTTACATGCCAAATGTGGTATTTAGTACAATTTCTTTTCATGTGTTCAAGATTTTCACAGAAGTAACATTTAAATGGTTTATCCTTTTCAAGCATTTGCTGTTGGATGCAGCTTTCTTATTCTTTAACTTGTCCTTAGATGCACTTGCCAGTTGTGTACTTCTAGTTCTCTCTTGCTTTAGTCTTTCTTCTTCTTGCACACAATATGAAATGAATTCATTAAGTGTACACTTTTCCTTTTGATAGCTGTAACTGAACTTAAATTAACTGAATTGTGCAGGAAGAGATCGAAACCGTATGCACGAGCAAGTCATCAGATAGCTCAAACTTTAATGCCGTTGGTTTTGAAGCAAGATGAAACACATCCATGATGTACTCTCATATTTTTCTTAGCCTTATACTTTAGTGAAACCAAGTTTGTCAAAAGTGTAATAGTTTCGACCTTATTGCTTTTTCGCAAAGCATTTTGGAATATTTCTTTAAAAATTCCTTTGTTGTTACCTTATTGGACACGACACTCCTGCATGTTGCTAAAATTTTATACTTCATGATCATAAGACTTGTGCAATTTGAACGATCCCACTTATTCGAGTTCCATTTTATTAGTGGATCTCTTATTCGTAAGAGTAGTGGATTTTTCAGTCCTTAACGTAAGGTCTAAATCCATGCTGCCAAGAACGATACAAACGTTCTATTTTCAGCCCTTAAACTTCGGTTCAAGCACAGAAATTGAATTAATGTTGATAGACATTACAGAAGTAGATGGATTAACCGAATAGAGAACCTAAACCTAAATCATATTCACATATGAATCGGTATTGGACAATCAATAATTTCAAATAATGGTGGATCACATCACAAGAGATCGAGCACAACATTGATATTTAGTCTTTTGATAGAAATATCAACTTTTAAGTGGTACTCTTGGTGTAGTAATCAAATATTAATAATAAATTCGGTCAAACATCAAGTCTATCTTTAGACCGACTCAATGCTCATATAATGGAAAGCTTTACAATTGTTGCATATTTATTAACATGTGTGCAAATAATTCGGCCTAATATTGACCTTCATTTGGGTCGATGAATATGCGCATGAATTATGTACACACAACCTTCTTAATATTCCAAATAAATTAATTTAGGGAAGAGAGGTTACTTTGGTAATATGTTGCTTCAACTAATCTATTTTAGAAAAATAGTTATGCGAAATAAATATGAAGTACTAAAATTTGAAATTGATTGCCCTTTTATATTTTTATTTTTCTCTTTTGTGGCAAAAATTGATGTTGAGGCTTCTCGGCTACCGTTTTGAACTAGAATTTCCTATAAAAAAAATAAAAAAACTCGAAATTTTGAATTTTAGGGTTAAAATTCATATCCTAAATTGAAAAATCTAAATTATAACTTTTAACCTAAATTTCTTTCTTGAAAAATTTTGAATTTTGGAATTTATGGCTAAAATTCATATTCCAAATTAAAAGACTCCGAAACTAAATTTATGAATTTCAATTACAAAATTCTGATAGGGCTCAAACTAAGAAAGTAAGAACGGAAATTAAAATGAATCTTTAATTGAAGAAGAACGATATAGCTAATTTTCTAACGGTTTCTCTCCCAGCACATGCTTTTCAACAGATTTTGTTATCCCTCCTTTCTTGATTCTTCTAGAATATGTGAAGTGTATAGGTGGCTTATCAATACTCCCGGGCTTCCAAGACACCTTGTCCTCAAGGTGGAAGCTTGGAAAGTGTTTAAGTATAGCTTCTGCTGAATCCCAGGTTGCCTCGGCATTAGGTAGATCCTTCCATTTTATCAGTATCTCTCCATCTAGACGTTCTCCCAAGACCTGATCACGCTCCACTATCCATTCAAGGTTTGCATCAAGATGAGATGGTAACAGTTGACTGGCCTCGGTTACCCCCACTGCTTTCTTCATTTGTGACACATGGAAGACTGGGTGTACTGTAGGAGTTGGAGGCAGTTTCAAAAGATATGCAACTGGCCCTATATGCTTCTCTACCTCAAACGGACCAAAATACTTAGGCCCCAATTTTTCATTTTCCTTTCTTGGCAATGAATGCAGGCGGTATGGTCACAGCTTTACATAAACCAAGTCCCCAATTGCAAACTGGAGATCTCTCCTGTGCTTGTCCGCTTCTCTTTTCATCCTCTCTTGAGCACGGAGGAGTTGGGACTTTAATTCTTCTTGCATAAGGTCCTGGTCTTTCAATTGTTGTTCCACCGTTGCTACAGTTGTGACCTGATTGCCATAGAGAATTAATGGAGGGGGTCTCAACCATACACTACTCGGAAGGGAGTTGTGTTTGTTGAAGAATGAAATGTGGTATTATACCAGTACTTAGCCTATGGAAGCCATAAACACCAATTTTTGGTTTGATCATAAGAGAAGCAACGAAGATAGGTTTCTAGGCGTCTATTAATTACTTCAGTCTGCCCATCGGTTTGAGGGTGATAGACCGTGCTTCAACGGAGGAAGGTCCCTTGCAGCCGAAATAGTTCAATCCAAAAATGGCTTAGGAATACCTTATCCCTGTCTGAAATAATGGAGCAGGAATTCCATGAAGTCGCACTATTTCCTTTACAAAAATTGCCGCGACTCCTGATATTGTAAAAGGGTGTTTAAGTGGCACAAAATGTGCGTACTTACTTAAACGATTCACCACTACCAAAATTGCATTGTATTAAGACGACTTTGGTATTCCTTCTACAAAATCCATTGAAATGTCATCCCAAATGAGATGGGGAATTGGTAGAGGTTGTAGTTACCCGGCAGGAGAAAGAGAATTAACTTTGTTTTGTTGACAAACTGGACATTCTTCTACAAATCTTTTTACATCCGCCTTCATCCCGGTCCAGTGAAAATTACTATTCAATCTTTTATAAGTGCGAAGGAACCCAGAGTGGCCTTCCATTGTGCTACTGTGGAACTCATGCAGTAGTGATGAAATTAATGTTGAAGAGCGAGATATTACCAATCGTCCCTTGTACAACAATCTTCTCTGTATGATTGAGTATCGTGGGTAAGTACCCGGATCCTCTTGTAGACTTTTCTTGATTTTGGACAGCACAAGATCCTTTTCCACTTCGGCTTTAATCAACTGCGTATCAAGTAATTTAGAGAAAATGAGTACCCCCAGTTCAACAGGGCAAGGAAGGCGTGATAATGCATCAGCTGCTTTATTTTCCAATCTAGGACCGTATTGAACCTCAAAGTCAAACCCCATTAGCTTAGTCACCCAACACTGAAAATCCCCCGAAATTACCCTTTGTTCTAAGAGGTATTTGAGGCTGCGCTGGTCTGTGCGAACAATGAACTTTCTTCCCAACACATAATGTCTCCTTTTTTGAATTGCCAACACAATGGCCATCAATTCCCTCTCATATATGGACTTCTGTTGAGACCTTGCCGACAACACTTGACTGTAGAATGCAATGGGCTGCTGGTTCTGCATGAGGACTGCACCTAATCTGAAACCTGAAGCATCTATCTCAATGATGAAAGGTTTCGAGAAATCCGGAAGGGCTAACACAGGAACCGTTGTCATGGCCTGTTTTAATCATTGAAATGATGCCTCGGCTTCCTCGTTCCAACCAAAAGAATCATTTTTCAATTGTTGTGTCAATGGCGAGGAGATGGCGCCATAGCCCTCTACAAACCTTCGGTAATATCTTGTTAGCCCTAAGAATCCTCGGAGCTCTCGCAGACTTCGAGGAGTTGGCA